GTGTGTTTGATCCCAAACAGACAAAGATCAAAATCATGAGATGATCTGATGATGTTTTTATAGAGATAAATGTAAATGAGTGTACTGTATTATAGCGCCACCTAGAGACAAGCAGGAGTCTGTAAACTCATCTGAATCTGCTTCACTGTTTCAGATGTTCAGACACTTTTAGATCAGAATAAGACGCTCTGAACAAACACAACAAGAATTGCTTTGCTGTTTGGACCCTTTAATGTTCACATAAAATAAATACACTCTTAAAAACGGTTATTTAAAGGTTCTTTACATGTAGTAACAGTTCTATTTTGAACCATATTGTCCTGAAGAACTTCATGCTGAAATGGTTATTAGTGTTTAGGATTCTTTATTCCTGCCTTTTTATTTTTCAAATCTGTAACTGTCAAAGCCTCCTTATTGATTTTTCTAGAGCTTTTAGTCACTCAATAACAGACTGTCAGCACACCCTCAACAGGTACATTTCTTTCTCATAATGATTATTGAGAAATATTATTGAGATTAATAATTATGCATAAACATAATTTAAGTAAAACAAATGTCTTTATGTCTGAGAACCTCGTATACCCCAACCACCTATTACACCTTATACACTTATTGTCCTATAAGCAGGGCCAGTTCTAGACATTTGGAGGCACAATAAAAGCACTTCAAACAAATATGATTTCTAAACTTTTTATTTACACATTTCATTTAAAATGTTGTATATGTTCTTTTATACTGTACCAGTCAAAAGTTTAGACACATTAATATTTTTAATGTTTTTGAAAGAAGTCTCTTATGCCTATTAAGCCTGCACTTGTTTGATCAAAAATACAGAAAAAAAACTGTAATATTGTGAAATATTATTACAAATTAAAATAATGGTTTCTATTTTTACTATACTGTCAAATATAAAAAAAAAATTCTGTGATAGTCTTCAGTGTCACATGATCCTTCATAAATCATTCTAATATGCTGATTTATTATCATTGTTAGAAACAGTTGTACTGCTTAATATTTATTTTATAACCTGTGATACTTTTTTCAGGATTTTTTGATGATTATAAAGTTGGGGGGAAACGATTTTGATAAAAAAAATATATAAAATATATATTTATATATATACTTGTTGAATATTTTTTCTTTCTTTCTTTCTTTTTGTCTTAATGAGCAAGAGACTCCTTTCAAAAACATTAAAAATAGCAATGTGTCCACACTTTTGGTAATGTATGTACATATTAATCAAACTTTATCTAAAGTAATCTTTTTTTTTTTTTTTGAGGATGTTATTATAGCCATGTGATATTTTTAACATTAATAATATGATATTATGTATTGCATTGTTACCTTAAATGTGCACTATATACACAAATCAAGTGGAAGTGAATGAGACGATTTTATTTTTAAACTGAAATTAAGTGTTATGTTAGAGCAGTAATCTAATTGTTACGGACCGACAGAGACGAGAGACCATCTGCAGATCCATCTGCATGCTTTTATTCCAAGACGTGGTCATAACAGGCATGGGTCAAACAGTGGGAAACAAGTACATTTCAGGCAAGACAAAGAGTATTCCAGGGACAGACAAGGTCAACGATCGTCAAACATAATCCAGTGAGCAAGGCAAGGGGGTATCCAAATAAACAAGCAATAGTTCAGGCGAGGAGCAAACAGTATCCAAACAAGGGCGAGACAAGAGGGCAAACAAAACTCGGCCCTGAACAGTGGTTAGGGCCTCGTATTTAAAGTGTGTGTGATTGGTTGCAGGTGAGTGTGTAATCAATGCAATTAAACATGGGAAATGTAGTCCAGGGTGATGTGTGACAGTCTGTGTGGTGTGAGTGTCTATATAACGGGAGGGCGACCTCTGGTGGCAAGCGAACGGAAGTCCATAGACAGGATTCGTGACAGTAATCATCAGCAGACTTTGGAAGATACACACATCTGCGGTCTTTTTTTTTGAAGCATTAAAAAATGTTCTAGTGTGTTTGCTTTTTGACTTTGCATACAAACTTCCAGGGCCGGCCTTAGCATTTTGGGGGCCCTAAGCAGATTTTCAAAAGAGGGCCCCCCATAACCACCCCCATCCCCCATCGTACACATCTTAAACTGACACCTTATTGAAAAGCAATGTTATTTTAGTATCATTCAGGTACTATTATAGTTTTTGTTAATCATTTGAATCATTATTATATATTTTCTGCTGTCATTTTCATTTTATTTTATGTTTTAGTCATTTGTTTTTGTTGCTTTTATTAGTTTTGTTGTTTATAAATGTCTATACGGTTATTACATTTTATACTATGGAGCCGTTGAATGCTTGAATCTGATTGGCTGACGAACGTTCTAAGGTGTGCTATTATTTTCAGGGAAACGCATGACTAAAATAGTTCCAGGCAGGTCTTGACCACATTACATGTACATATCATTTCGCCAAATGATTTCAGATATTTCAAAGATCCTTACAGCCTAAAACAGCAAAATAACCAAAACCCACAAAGTGGCCTAGCAAATAAATATAATAAACAATAGGATAAAATCGACAGATTACTTCCATGTTTTTGCCACAAAATGTACATTTTATGTACGGAAAGCACGTACTCTATTTCTCCTGCTCTCTCTACCTTACAGACACACACACGCGTACTAACGATTCTATCTCTAAAATAGTTAAACTTAAAAGCTACATGACATTTCTCACAAGCAAGGTAACAGCGGCGCTGTTCTTGAAGAAAATTAACTCAAAGTTTCACTATTAGAAGAGACGCTGCCCGAGGCCCTAGGCAAGTGCCTGCTCTGCCATAGCACTGACCCTGCCTATAAGCAATCACGATTGTCCCTTGATTCCTTTCCTGTTTGATAATATATGCTTTATAAGTAATAATAAACTGCCAATATGCTAGTAATATGCATGCTAATAAGCAACTAATTAATAGCTAAAATTTGGTCCTTAAAATAAAGTGTTACCCGTTTTTCCTGTTTAACACTGTAAAGCTGCTTTGACACAATCTGTATTTTATAAAGCGCTATATAAATAAAGGTGACTTGACTTGACAGTGAACATCATCCCTTCAGTGCTTGGCCAGGTAATTGATGCTTCCAGCTTCACTTTTATTGAGTATGTGATCATAAGAACACTAGTATGCTAATATATTGTGTGTACACTTCAGAAAGTGTATATTTAACCCTTGTGTGGTGTTCATATTTTTGTTACTCAGCCAGTGTTCGTGGGTCTGGTGGACCCGCTGCAGTTTTGGGTTTTTAATTCAACACACTCAAAAATTATTTGTTAAAATACTCAACAGATGTTTGCTTCATTCCAATTACAAGCAATATAAACAGCATATATGGTCAAATTTTGCCCTACTCTTTTATTAGACACGGGTCCAGTGGACCCGAACATCCTGTATGTAAGTGTGTAGGGGGTTGTACAGTGAGTGGTCATTGAAAATTTGTTCCGATAGATGTTTGATAAAAAGTGAAAACGTGTCCCACAGACACAGACCCAAACACCATACAAGAGTTAATACCGAGTGCTTTACTACTGACTGACTGACGTCAAAAAGCAAATGAGAGGAATACCGGCGCATAGTATTTCCTACTTTGAGGCCATTATAATCCTAGCAGTAACAGTCAACAGCAAGATATGTAGATAAATACACAAATATGGAGGAAGTAACATGTAAAAAGGTATTTTTTTAAGAAAAAATACACAAATGATGTGTGAGGCTCCATTATGTATCTTTGTACTGTCAGGTATGCACCTTTTACTCTTTATTGTTGAGATAAAGCATTATTATGATTAAACAAACTCCTGGTTTATTGCATCGTTTCACATCACTTCACCATTGATGGGCTGATGGCACAAAAATAAAGTCTCAAACCTTCATTGAATGCTTTAGTATGGAGAAGAAATTATGTGGAAGTTACTGGGACTCAAAACATTCTTGAAATTGTCATCTTTTGTGCTCTGCAGAAGAAATTAAATCATCCAGGATGGGATCAACATGATTTCTTGCTATGTTAACTAATGTTTAAATGCATTTTTGCACCTTTTACAGTATATATGCAGCTTCAGTGTTGTAGTTTCACTATAAAACTGCATAAATCAATGTGATCATGAGTCTTAGTATGAAAGTTTCATTATATTTTTCTTAACGTAATCTCTCTCTCTTTTTTCCCCCGTGATAGCCTGGAGGTGATCACTCGCATGTTGATCAGTGAACCTCTTTTCTTTTTTCTTTTCTTTTATTTTCCTTGTCTTGTCTTTTCTTTGCATGTGTTCATTGTTGGGCGTTACACTGTGTGCAGCTCTACAAATTGAGAAAAATAATTTCTTAAATATTGTGTTTAGATTGGGAATGCAAAAAATGCTGTTGATCACTGACATGATCAAATATGAAAGAAAAGGAAAAACAAATGATAAGAGAAGGAAATGCAAATGCTTAGCCGCTGTGGAAATATAATACTCCACAGTATAGAACAGGGGTGACAAACTCAGTTGCTGCGGGCCGGAGCCCTGCAGAGTTTCGATTCAACCCTAATTAAACACACGATTCAACTAATCAAGTCCTTCAGGCTTATTTGAAAACTACCTGGGATGTGTTTTGGATCAGGGTTGGAACAAAACTATGCAGGGCTCTGGCCCTCCAGTTCTATACCAACACAGAGTAAAATGTGGACATGTGAGAACGAGGAAGAACAATGTAAAGGGCTTTTGTTTAGAGTAATATACAAATAAAGTGACGTGCTGAATAATGGATGAGAGCAGATATAATAATCAAATAGTTTGAAGCTGCAGACAGAAACATCAGACTCAGGACAGAAACACACAACCTCTAAAGTAAGAACAACTCACATCTTCATTCTTTAACTAGAATTAGACTTTTGAGATGTTAATATTGTCTAAATGAATGTGAATTGTGTTCTCCTGCTAAACTGTTTTTTTATTATTATTATTTTTATTATTACAATGTGTTTTACTCTCTTATTCTTTCTCAGAAATGGAGCAAACTCTATATTTAATTCTTATTATTGGTGAGTGTTTGTGATTTTTATTCATGGTTTATAGTTTCATTAGGTTTGATCCTGTTATGAAAAGCATTAAAGCAAAGTTTCACTTTCACAGCTCTCTGCTCCGTATCTGAATGTGTTCAGCGTCAGTATCACTTTATAAATGAGAGGAAGACCTGGACTGAAGCTCAGAGATACTGCAGAGAGAATTACACAGATCTGGCCACCGTTGACAACATGAACGACATGAACGAGCTGAACAAGAGTGTCAATGGTGGAGGTGTTCAGTATGTCTGGATTGGGCTGCAGAAGACGGGTCGTGATGAATGGCAGTGGTCTTCAGGTGAACCTGCGCTCTATCGGAACTGGGGATATAAACAACCTGATGGCAGAGATTATTGTGCTATGATGAGAAATGGACAATGGCATGATTTTCCATGTAGTGTTGCCCAGCATTTTATCTGCAACAAGAGTAAGTACAAACACCTAATGTATGTAGCCCAGGGGTTTTCAACCAGGGGCCTGAGATAACCTTTTAATTCAGAGGCAAACACTCGAGTAATTATGAATACGAGCTAGCAAATCTTTAGCCATCCACTAAGTCTGCTTAGTCCCACTGCTGATCATTCGACAGAGAAGAGTTGTGGCGTGTATCTAGTACTAGTAATAATTATAGTACTAGTAATAATACTAGTACTGGTAATAATACTAGTACTAATAATAATAGTAATAGTTATTTGTTGTGGCAGCTATATCTGACGAACCTATTGTTAACTAAAAATAAACAGAAAGAGAAAGATCTACCGTATTGGCCCGAATATAAGAACCCTGAATATAAGACGACCGCGTTTTTTCAGATGTATTTCCAAGAAAAAAACATCATCTTATATTCGGGTCAATACGGTAATTATAATCTACCAGCTCTAGACTTAAGATCTCATAGTAATAATAATAATCATAACAATGTAGCAGCACAATGAAAACAAAGTAAAACCGCTAAGGAGCTGAGTGAGGAAATACCTTCTGTGACACATTGTTGACATAATTATGGAAATACTATACCCTTAAGTATAGTTTACATGTTTTGTGATCACTATTATTTTACTACCATTAATGTAAATATTATTTATTTTACTCTCTCATGTCTCTCTCTCTCTCTCACTCACTCACTCACTCACTCACTCACTCACTCACTCACTCACTCACTCTCACTCACACACACACACTTTTCTCATCTCTCTTCTTGTTCAAACACTCTGCTTTACATATGTAAATTCATGCAAGAGGTATACACATACATAACCTCACACCCACACTCTTGTTTGTTTTTCTATCTTTTTGTGTGTTATGTTTGGTTTGTATTTATGGTGTTGTCTTTGATTTGTTTTATTATGACATATCCAAGAAACAAATTTAAGAAGAAAATGAAGAAAAAGAAAAAGGCATGTGGTCAGTTAGGGTAAAGTTAGAAAATACACAAAAGGACCAAAGATCCTATAATAGTACTGGACTGCGCCACCTGGAGTACACCGGGAAATACAGCCCTACACAATGGCACACAGGTTCAGTGCCACTGGCAGGGTGAAGGAAGGGAAAAAAACAAGTCACTTTACATACAAAATGAATATAAAACATTCAGCCAATACACTAATGCCACAAAGCCTTAGTGGATAATCACTTAACAATATCAAACACACATTCACTGGAAATACAAAAAGAGTGAGATGGCCAGCAGAGGCGATCACACAACTTGTGCAAATAATGAAAATGAATCCAAATGACACCCAGGCAAGGCAGCACATAGTAGATGCTTACAGACGCTTACAAGACAACAAACTAAAACAGACGAGCATGTCAGTCTCTTGTTAACAGAAAGATCTCTTTTTAAAATGAAGAAACCTACCTGGGAACTATTGCAAGCAGTCAGTGCACATCAGAGAGAGAGAGAGAGAGAG